TACGTGTGGAATTACTGTTCTGCTGAGCAAAATAGAAAAGCAGATTCTAAACATCGTATTAGTATTTTTTTAATTCTTTCTTCGTGTTTTTACACATGGATCATTGAGTGGTCTCCTTGCCAGGAGGGACATAGAGTCATTTCAGTGTCACATTAGGAGCAAAAAGCAGATGGCCCCGGGAGTGAATTGGGAAGCAGAAATAACCAGTACAGGCTCCTCCTTCAAGAGAATCCCATGTGGTTGTGGATTGAGGGGAAAGGGGCCAGTTGAGAGACAATTGTGATCCAGGAGGCAAAGGAGACAGTCAATGGAAGATGGAAAGAGGGGAGGTTGGGAGGATTGTGTTTCAAGCTACAATATCTAGAGCATATTTTACTGATTAGACAATTTATATGAGTAATAAAAAACATGACTTTGGCCAGGCACGGTAGTTCATGCCTGTAATCCCAGCACTTTGGGAGGCCGAGGCGGGTGGATCATGAGGTCAAGAGATCGAGACCATCGTGGCCAACATGGTGAAACCTCGTCTCTACTAAAAATACAAAAATTAGCTGGGCACGGTGGCGCACGCCTGTGGTCCAAGCTACTCAGGAGGCTGAGGCAGGCGATTCACTTGAACCCAGAAGGCAGAGGTTGCAGTGAGCTGAGATCGCACCACTGCACTCCAGCCTGGGAACAGAGTGAGACTCTATCTCAAAAAAAAAAAAAAAAAAAAGACTTTTAAGAACAGTCCAACTTTTAACAACATGCGCTGAAACTAAACCAAAGTACTCTTCTTTCCGAGTCATGAAAAGGAAACCTTAAATATATTTCCAAGAAATCCTGACCATAGCCTATAGTTCTGTTTTTAAAATATTTTCAGCTATCTTCATTTCTGAGTTTTAATATTCCTGGATTTGGTGGTTTGAGAGATATGACTTCATTTAGGGAAAATTAAATGTTTCCTGGGCAGCATCACTTTTTAGCATCAGCTCTTCAGGAGCCCATGGGAGGAAACACTCTATTAAACTCAATGCACCAAAGGCAGCTAGGGTTTCAACACAGACACCATGGTCCAAGCCCTCATGAAAGGGTGAGAACCTGGAGTTTGTCAGGGATTTGGGTTCTTGCACAGATACAACGCGGCCACCAAGAAAGAGTGAGGAGGATGGGAAGGAGTACCACTTCATCTCAACAGAGGAGATGACGAGAAACATCTCTGCCAATGAGTTCTTGGAGTTTGGCAGCTACCAGGGCAACATGTTTGGCACCAAATTTGAAACAGTGCACCAGATTCATAAGCAGGACAAGATTGCCATCCTTGACATCGAGCCACAGGTGGGTAGGCATGGAAGGGCGAGGACGGATGGTCTCAACCACACAAGGGATGGGGAAGAGGGTGCTGAAAAAAGCAGTGCTCCTTGGGAATCTTCTTGGGGCTCAAGATTTCTGCAGCACTTTTAATGGAGTCATCCCAGAACAAGAACAGTACTGCTGGGAACAATGGAAAATAGTATTGGGGTAAAGCTCAAAGCTGCTTATTTTTCATGTTCTTTTTCTTTGTTTCCTCCCCTTGTTTTCTAGACCCTGAAGACTGTTCGGACAGCAGAACTTTCACCTTTCATTGTGTTCATTGCACCTACTGATCAGGGCAGTCAGGTGAGGAGAGGGTTGTGGGGGGTGGGTGAGAGTTCACTTTCTCTAGGGCCAAGAAGCAAAAGGGCATCACATTCATTTGAGTTCTGAAACCACTAGCTAGGCCAGTGCCCATGCTAGCTAGGTAATGGGGACAAAACAAACCAGATCCAGTCATTGTCCTGGAGGCACACAGTTCCAGGGGCACAGATGTACAGTTGGGCAAATCCACCTGTGAGAGTGATTGTTTCTCTTTGCCTGTAGCATGTTGTCAAAATTTTCATTACCAATCTACTGGAGGGAAAACTGGCATCTCATACTTTTTTACTAAAAGAGATGATTGGGTACTTTTTCACATGAAGAGCCGTTTGTATTGCCTTTCCTGAGAATTATCTGGTCATGTCCTTAGCTCATTTTTCTGCTGAGTTATTGGCCTTTGATTTCTAAGTAGTATGTATTAGGGTAAGTAACTTTTTGTGGTATCATTGTAATATCAGCTGCAGTTATTTTTTTTTCCAATATGGCATGTCTTTTTGCTATGCAGACATTTTTACTTTTATGTAGTTAAATGATTCCTCTTTCATGGCTGCTTCATTTTAGGTCAAAGAAAGAGGCCTGAGACAAATACACACATTTTTAAAATTCGTTTTTTGTAGAAATGGGGTCTCACCGTGTTGCCCAGGCTGGTCTTGAACTCCTGGGCTCAAGCAATCATCCTGCCTCGACCTTCCAAAGTGCGGGGATTCCAGGTGTGATCTTTTATATGACTGGGTGCAGTGGCTCATCCATCATCCCACCAGCACTTTGGGAGGCTGAGGCGGGTAGATCACCTGAGGTCTGAAGTTTGATACCAGCCTGGTAAACATGGAAAAACCCTGTCTCTACTAAAAAAAATACAAAAATTAGCCAAGTATGGTGGCAGGCCCCTGTGATCCCAGCTAATATGGAGGCTGAGGCACGAGAATTGCTTGAACCTGGGAGGTGGAGGTTGCAGTGAGCCAATATTGCACCACTGCACTGCAGCCTGGGCCACAGAGCAAGACTGTCTCAAAAACAAACAAACAAAATCACCTTTGTTTTGGGATTGCAGCTCTGGTGCTTGTTGAAATGGCTCTTCCATGTTCAAAGGGCATTAAGTGAGAGATGCCGGTGAAGTCCATGCTATCTCTACATAGCTATTTGTCCTCCAGAGAGCTCTGATTAATCAGTCAGGGTTAGCCTGAGACCCTCTGAGAATTGCCATGGTCTTTTGAGATTGTCTCTTCATGTCCTACGTTAACATTATCTCACAATGTCTTCCGAGTTTGAGTCAAGTATGATGCACAGCTGTCACTAGCCTCTCTGGGCTGGGGGTGATACAGCTTGCTTCATCTGTGGCTTTCTTCTTTGCAGACAGAAGCCCTGCAGCAGCTGCAGAAGGATTCTGAGGCCATCCGCAGCCAGTACGCTCACTACTTTGACCTATCACTGGTCAATAATGGTGTTGATGAAACCCTAAAGAAATTACAAGAAGCCTTCGACCAAGCATGCACTTCTCCGCAGTGGGTGCCTGTTTCCTGGGTTTACTAAGCTTGCAGAATGGGGGAGCCCACTCTATTGCCTCTCTCCAGCATTTTGAACTCCACCCTTCTTGCTTTAAGACAAACAGGGCTGCTCCACCTAGTTTAGTGTCAGCGTCCAACTCTCTGCAGCTATACTAGTTAAGCCAGGATTCAGTTTTCTTGCTCAGGCTCCTGAAGGGCTGGGATTTGATTTTCCTGATAGATGGGGCTCCACTGATCTGGATTTCAAAAGGATCTCTGGAAATTGGGGGTAAGAAGTACTAACAAAATGTAACTGCTCAAAGATGATGCACGGCAAAAGCAATGGACCCCCATCCCTCTAAAGCCTGCCCTCCTTCACCTTCAACTGTATATGCTGGGTATTTCATTTGTCTTTTTATTTTGGAGAAAGTGTTTTTAACTGCAACTTCCTATGATGCCAAAATGACACATCTGTGCAATGGAATGATGTCTATTCAAGGGAAATCTTCAATAGCAATAAAAATGCTGTGTTAAAATGCCAATGACCTTATAACTCTGGGTTTCCACACAAAAAGAAATGTGGCTCCTGGACAACGCCATTAACAGAAGATGCTGCTCTTGTGTTCAGATGGGATTCAGATGACAAACACCAGTGTCCTGGAAGAATCCCCATTCTCTGTGCCCATGCAGAAAAACACCCTAAGGTTGTTGTATCTGGGGGTGAGCCAATCATGGACACGTATTTAAAAAGAAAAAAACCAAGCCTGGGGTCCAGTGGTACAGCAGAGGCTGGGCTAAGCCAGGGCTGGGGTTCACTCTGCACACCTGGCTCATGATATGGGCCTTTCCTTGCTGCATCCAAGGACTCCCCCACAAAGCACTTTTTTTTTTTTTTTGACAGAGTCTCACTCTTTCACCCAGGCTGGAGGGCAGTGGCAGGATCTTGGCTCACTACATCCTCCACCTCCCAGGTTCAAGTGATTCTCCTGCCTCAGCCTCCCGAGTAGCTGGGATTAGAAGCACATGCCATCACACCTGCCTACTTTTTGTATTTTTAGTAGAGACAGGTTTTGCCATGTTGGCCAGGCTGGTCTCGAACTCCTGACCTCATGTGGTCTGCCCGCTTTGGCCTCCCAAAGTGCTGAGATTACAGGCATAAGCCACAGCGCCCGGCCTCTCTCTTGGTTTTTAATACCAAATTGGAAGAAATCCTAGAGCTTTCTTCCACTAATCTATGTTACCAAGGCCTTCAGATTCCTGAATGTCCCCACCCTCGACTTCCTTTTCCCCACTCACCCTGCCATCAGCACCAGAAGTGACAGCTTCAGTGGGCTCCTACCGCTGAGCCCAAGTTCAGATGTGTCTTGCAGATATATACCCCCTCCCCACCCTGCCCTGGACACACTCACTGGCACCCTCCTGAGTTTGAGACCAGCCTGATCAACACAGAAAAACCCCATCTCTGGTAAAAAATAAATAAATAAATAAATATATATATATTCACACACACACACACACACACACATGTACATACATAAAATTAGCCGGGTGTGGCGGGGCATGCCTGTAATGCCAGCTATTCAGGAGGCTGAGGCAGGAGAATTGCTTGAACCTGGGAGGCAGAGGCTGCCATGAGCCGAGATCACACCATTGCACTCCAGCCTGGGCAACAAGAGCAAAAGTCTGTCTCAAAATACATAAATACATCAACCCTCTCCTTCTCTGTTCTAGAGAGATCACTGGTTTTGTGGTAATCACTGCCTCTGAGTACTTGATCTCACATCAGTTGATAGGGCCCAAGGTCAACTGTGTAAGATATAGGACAAAAATGTAAAACCAGCCAAACAAAGGAAAAGCATCACGTTTCAAATAGGACATAAAGGTCTCTAGATTTTTAATCAAAATATTTTACATTTTTTGCTCTGCTAGCATGAGATCACCAACAATAAGAAAACCCAACAGGAATACATAAAAAACAAGTTGATTTTAATAAGTAAAAATTACAACGTTCTTCTCCCAGCAATGAACAGTTTCATTCTTTAAAAGTAAACAAGGCCTACAACAAGAGGGCACAGGAACAAGTAGTCAGATGGATTTAGGTGAGCACTGTACACAAGCTCTGAGAAGTGCAAAGGACTGACCTCTAGGCCAGAACAAGATGGAAAACTACCAGGCCTGCCAGGCCTATACCCAGACACCAGGATGGACAAAACTCAGTTATACTGAATTCAGAGACAAAATTCAGCGACACTCTTTCACTTATTTAGGGTTGTACACCATTTCACTGAGTAGACTTAATTTTTGTTTTTTGTTTTTTACAAACCTTTTAAACAGAAGGGATAAAAAAATGCAAACTAGGACTACAATGTTAAAACAGCCACTAGCAGACAGCTACTGTCAGTTACTAGGTCTGAAGGTGAGGCTTCCCAACTCAAATCGAGAAGTCATTGGGATAAACTCTGCCTCTTTTATCTTTCATCACCCATATCCTTAAAACAGGACAAGACGGGATGACCACACCAGGTAACATCACCGAGATCTGAAAGTAGCAGCTAAAATGTGCCAGAAGTCTCCATCCTGTCTAGAACCTATCCACTCTCAGCAACAAAAGGATCTATAACGTGTTTTCTCAATAAGGCTTTAGTATCTTCTCCCAGCTGGACACAATGCTTTAAATGGCCTTCACTACTCAGAAACCAATTCTACCTCTTTTGCTTTCTTCTTCTTCTTCTTCTTTTTGGTAGTATCACTGTCCTAGAGAGAGAGAGAAAGAAAGCTCATAGATAGCAACCCCTAACAAAACTGACTCTGCCAGAAGGAGATCTGGTCAAGGCTATTTCAGGATCTGTGAGAAGATTCTGGGTTAAATACTGCACGTGACACAAAGTTCTGTGGTCTACTTTTGGAAGTAGAAACATTCAGATCAGCAAACTACACATCCACTCCACCCACCATCAATAGAGCTCTAACTATAAGCGGTGGCGGCCGGGTGCCTCCATCTGTCCTTTCCACAGGGAGGGCAAGGGAACTCTAGTAACATGGGGAAGTACTGAAGGCACCCCTGGGCCACAGCTCCTTCAAAAAGAGTAACCAAGCTCGTACAACCTGGGTAATTCTTTCCCCATGCAGAGATTAAGCCAGCCCAAAGAACCTGAACGTGTTTACACACACCCCATCTCCAGGCTCGGCCCCACTCTCCAGACCAGCTTTGGCCTTCTTGTCCTTCTTACTCTTCTTCTTTTCCTTCTTGATCAACTGAGGAACTGTTGTTGGAGGGGTCTCATCACTTTCACTCTCACTCTCTCGCTTCCGCTGAGATGAAAGCAATTGGTTAAGTATTAGATCTTGGGCAATAATGGACAAGGTTCAAAACGCAGCAAGGCACCAAGATCCCAACTGAATGTGACAGGACATTTGACTACAAACCCAGATACGGCCCTAGTTTACTGAGGATTTGAAGACAGTCTCATGCCCCAAATCCAAGAAGCCTTGGGGCAGGCATGAGAGGAACACCACAGCAGCAGCACGGGGCTTAGGGGCAGAAAGGTCCGGAGGAGCTGTTTCTCTCATGACCGCAAGGATCTCTGACCGTGCTCCTGTGAGTCCTCATAGAAAGCAGGCAAAGCAGGAATTCACATCTGACAAGTCAGAAGCTCCTCCCACACAGCCTGTGCGGGATACTCAGTACCGCCCCTGGTTTCTGAGTGTAGACCTGTCATTCTGTGCTCTAATGCCAGCAGCTCCATGAGGTGGACTTGCCACCCCATGCTTAACTGACTCTTTAAACACTGGGTGGTGCTGGGTTAAGATGCCTGCCAGCCTCTGGCAATTCTGCTCTCTGCTGAATTTTGTATGTCCTCAAGTGTCCATTAGCCCATGGCCTCTGATTTCAACATATCTGTCCTACCATTTCACCCAAAGTGGGGGCCAGAGTGACAGATGCATCACAACCCATGCTATCCCCATGTTGCTGCCATAGGAGGTAGGAGTCAAGGCAGGTCTGATTCCTGAGCTCACATTCCTCCTCCAAATCAGAGGAGCCTGCAGACCCCAAACAAGCCCCCCGGTATGAGGCAGCTTTACCTGTGTATGCGCTGCACCTCTGAGGCCTCAGTCACAGGGTAAGACAAATGCCAGTGCCTCTTAGGATTCACCCTAAGCACATTCTAAACTGATCACAGCACACCACTCACCTTCGCAGTCTTTGCTGCTCCAGCAACTACCTGTGGGGCTTTTACCACTTCAGCAGCCACCTCTTTCTTGGCAGACTCACTGAAGGAGAGATAGCAATAGGTCAAATTCACTGAATGGCTTTCCAGGTCAGTACTGATGCTATGCAGTGTTATCTGGCAAGTCTAGAGCCACCATCAAAATACTGACACTGGAGAAAAGAACTCACCAGTTATTGTTGCAGACTGACTCCCTCTAGAGTCCCACAAGCCAGACTAGAAACGGTAACTGTCTGCCGTGCAGGCTCAAACGCCTAACTGGCCTGGGCAGCCAAGACCTCATGGGACCCAAAGAATTAGTTCCTGTGGCCCTGCATTTAGCAAGTTTGCCCCAAACCACACGACTCCCACTCACTTGGGGCTCTATAACCTCCGTGCTCACCTGTCCCTTGCCTCTTGTCCATGTACTCCTGCATCCAAATGGCAGGGGGGCTCTGTCTACACTCCCTGTCCTCATCTGTTGACGACGTACTCCTGCATCAAGGCACCAAGTGTGCTGTCTCTACCCACCCCTGGCTCTAAAACATCCTGCCCTCACCTGTAGTCAACATACTCCTGCTTCCAGGTGGCAGGCGTGCTGTCTGTTGGTTTCCCATGCTTGTCCAGAAGGCCCTGCTTGATCATCAGCTTCTTCTGACTGGCCTGGTGGAACATCAAGGTGCCAACATTAGAACGGTTTCAATGCAGGAAGTGGGCATGGTGACTGCACATAACAGAACAAGGTTCCTCCCTAGTGTATTCTCAGAAGGACCTCAAACTCCTATCCAGAGCATTCAGAATTCACCAACTGCAACAAACACAGGACTTGTTGAAGGTCACAAAGCATATTAGTAAGAGCCTCTGCAGTGCCATTTGGTGACACACATCCCCACCGCAGCCACTGTACTCTTTGGCCTTTGCACATGCTGCTTGTTCCCACTGCCCTGAACTCTCCCCTCCCCTCTTCACTTAACTTCATCCACAGCTAACCCACTCTTCACACTGGCGTGGCTTAACAGACAATCCCTTGCCCAGTCTCCTTGACCACTGGACTCTCCAGGTGCCTGACACCTCTCTGCACTCCTTGGTAGCCACCAACATGGGTGAAAATCACCATTCCACTGTGTGATTATGTAAGTAACGCCCAACTGTTTCCCCTCATTAGACTGAAATCTCTAAGGTCCAAGACAGGGCCTGTTTCCACTCATTGACAGTCCAGAGCCCAGCATAACACAAGGCTACCACAGTGAAATACACCAGGAGCTGCCCAAGTTAACTATTCTACAAACAAAGGAACCTGGCACAGCACGCAAGCCAGTCCCACTTACCTTTGGCCCTAAACCCCACTTCCGAGGGTAAGTGTCTCTCTCCATGATCACTCTCTTGATCTTGGCTACTATACCATGGTCGCAGGTAGAGATGACTGCTGTGGTCATTAACGCAATAGCTGCAGAAAAGAAAAGAATTATTTGAAGGGGAAAGAATTGATCATCGATGAGCCCCAATTCTACTGCCACTTTAAAATTTTAAAACTCTGAGCTCTACTACTTTAGTTGGAGTTTCCTTTGCTCAGGATGTGCACATGGAAGAAATCCTCCATTACGGGAAAGAGGCCTTTGAAATATTAAACTTCTCAAGTTAAAAAAACACCTAAACCAAGCACCTAAAGATACATATAATGGGCTTGCAGCTCAAGACATGTATAGAAATGGCATGCACACTCCCTTTGGGGCCATAGAGCCTTTGACTTTGAAGTTTAAGGATTCCTTTACTGCCGCTGTCCATAGGCTGTGGCTGCCCTGCCTGCTCACAGAGCTAAGGAATCCTGATGACATGCTTACTTCTGGTGCAAATTAGACCCATTAAATGAATAGCTCTAAGGTTCATTCACTAAGAGGGTGCAAAGCATTTAAAGTCTTAAGAGACAATCTGATAGTAGCTAAACTTTCATAAGTTAAAAAACACTGGTGCTTTATATGGAACCACAAAACACTCAAAATACCCAAAGCTATCCTAAGAAAAAGAACAAACCTGAAGGAATCACATTACCTGACTTCAAATTATACTGCAGAGCTATAGTAATTCAAACAGTGTGGTACTGGCATAAAAACAGACACACAAACCAATGGAACAGAATAGGGAACCCAGAAACAAATCCACACACCTACCCTGAACTCATTTTTGACAAAGGTGCCAAGAACATACACTGGGGAAAAAACAGTCTCTTCAATAAATGGTGCTAGGAAAACTAGATGTCCATATGTACAAGAATGGGAGAAAATATCTGCAAACTACCCATCTGACAAGGGATTAATAACCAGAATATATAAGGAAATCAATGCTATAGGAAAAAAATCCAATAATCCAGTCAAAAAACAGGCAAAAGATTTGAATAGACATTTCTCAAAGACAAATAAATGGCAAACAGGCATATGAAGAGGTGCTCAGTGCTAATCACCAGAGAGAGAAATGCAAATCACAACTACAATGAAATATCATTTCACTCCAGTTAAAATGCCTTATATCCAAAAGACAGGCAATAACAAAAGCTGGCAAGAATGTGGAGAAAAGGAACCTTTATATACAGCTGGTGGGAATGTAAATTAGTACAACCACAATGGAGAACAGTTTGGAGGCTTCTCAGAAACTAAACTGAGCTGTGATATGACCCAGCAACATCACTGCTGGGTATATGCCACAAAGAAGGGAAATCAGTGTTATCAGAGATCACAATAGCCAAGATTAGGAAGCAACTGAAGTGCTCATCAACAGATAAATGGATAAAGAAAATGTGGTACATATACAGCCTTAAAAAAGAATGATATCTAGCCTGTCATTTCCAACAACATGGATGGAACTGGAGGTTAAGTGAAATCAGCCAGGCACAGAAATGCAAACATTGTATATTCTCACTTATTTGTGGGAGCTAAGAACCAAAACAATTGAACTCATAGAGAGTAAAAGAATGGTTAGCAGAGACTGGGAGGGTAGTGGGGGGCTGGCAGGGAGGTGGGGATGCTTAAGGGGTACAAAAAAAAAAGAAAAGAAAAATCAGGCCAGGCATGGTAGCTCACACCTGTAATCCCAGCACTTTGGGAGGGCAGATCACCTGAGCTCAGGAGTTTGAGACCAGGCTGGCCAACATGGCAAAACTCCATCTCCACTAAAAATACAAAAATTAGCCAGGCGTCATGGTGCACACCTGTAATCCCAGCTACTTGGGAAGCTGAGGTATGAGAATTGCTTGAACCTGGGAAGCAGAGGTTGCAGCGAGATGAGGTCATGTCACTGCACTCCAGCCTGGGCAAGAGTGAGACTGTTTAAAAAAAAAAAAAAAGCAACAAAAATAAAACCCACCACCACCAACAAAAATCAAAAGAATGAACAAGTTGAGTAAGACCCTACTATTTGATAGCACAACAAGGTGACTATAGTCAATAATAACTTAAGTGTACATTTTAAAATCACTAAGGTGATAAATAAGAGTAAAATAGGATTGTTTGTAACACAAACAATAAATGCCTGAAATGTATACCCCATTCTCCATGATGTGATTATGTATTGTACGCCTGTATCAAAACATCGCATGAACCCCATAAATATATACACCTACTACATAACCACAAAAATGTACTATTTAAAAAACGAACATCCCCTCTTACCCATGCAGATTGCTTCTCCTTTGGTGGTGATAACCACAATCTCTTGATTGACCTCAATGCCATCCTCATATCGAAGAACACCTGGAAGCATGATCTTGGCCCCATAGCAGATGGCATTTACCTGCAGAGATGGCACCATGTATAAGGGCCCCAGCTGCTGTCCTCCACCCCACACCAGAGTAAGGAGAATAACAAGAGGGTGGGGCCTGACACCAGGAAACAGAGCTAATGGCACTGACAGCCCACTAGCTGTAAGGGGCATGAAGGGACTCAGAAGAGCAGCAGCTACCTCGCTGTGCTAGGCACCGCTCTCCGTACTTTCCACACATGACTCAAAAGTAGTAAAGACTTTCAGGCTTTCAGGTTCTAGAAACTAGACGTATTTTCATTTTACTTCTTGTTTATTTTTAGACAGTCTCCCTCTGTCATCCAGGGCGAAGTGCAGTCACGTATTCTCAGCTCACTGCAATCTCCACCTCCCAAGTTCAAGTGATTCTCATGCCTCAGCCTCCCAAGTAGCTGGAATTACAGGCATGTGCCACCATGCCCAGCTAATTTCTGTATTTTTAATAGAGACAGGGTTTTATCATATTGCCCAGGCTAGTCTCAAATTCCTGAGCTCAACCGATTTGCTTGCCCTGGCCTCCCAAAGTGCTGGAATTACAGGTATGAGCCATTGCATCTGGCCGGTATTTTCATTTTAAACATAAAAAACAGCCTTAGCATTCCTTAATTGCTCCTCTCTCTCCCTTAGCAGGAGAAAGAATACATTTACTGCAGATACAGGCAATAACAGGCTCTGAAAGAACTTGCAAACAAGATTAGTGAGGCCTGTTGAACCAATCACACACAAGTCTTGTGTAGAATTCATAGCCAATGGATAGAAGTTAAGGCCACCTCTTCAGAGATTCAATGGTACCCAATGCATCATCTGCCTTATGCCATCTCTACCCACCTAGATCTCTTGCTGATCACATTCTACCCTCCTTTTATTTTCAGCCACAGGCCAATGGTTTGATAAGAAGTCGTTACATTTATGTTGTCCACTGTTTGTGACTGCATTATATTATGGTGCCATCTTTCAGTATTTATTATAGACTATATGCATTAAAAATGCAAACATCTATACAATTTAAGATTTGAATATAAGTATTTACCAACCACAAGTATTTCAAATATCCAGAAATTTTTATCCCTCAAGTTACAGCAAAGACAATATGTCTTATTTTATAAAAGGCCAATTATCTGATCATCATAAAAACATAGCTCACAGCCTCGATCTCCCAGGCACAAGCAATTCTCCCACCTCAGCCTCCCAAGTAGCTGGGAACATAGGCATGTGCCACCATACCTGGCTTTTTTTTATTTTTGTGAAGACAGGATCTTACTATGTTGCTCAGGCTTGTCTCAAACTCCTTCCTGGGCTCAAGTGATCCTCTTGTCTCAGCCTGCCAAAATGCTGGGATTATAGGCATCAGCCACTGTGCCCGGCTTAATGTGCCTTAAGTATGCCTACCATTAAACTTTTACTTTAAATTAGTATACTTGGTTTGGACTTGGAAAACAACAAAAGGAACAAGCCTCATCTTTGGAGTACATTCTGTCTAAACATGGAACTCCTAAGCTGGAACTTACTGCACTGTCTTTCATAACCAGCCGTTTATGAGATGTCAACAGCTTTTCCAAAGGGTAAACAACTCGTCGCAGGTAACTCTCATCCTTGTGGTTATCATACAGCCACTGAGCATCAAGCACATCGTGCATTGTCACCATGTGGTCCTGAAAAGCAGTCATATATAAAAATAATTCAGTTTATTTGTATCTCAGCCCATCAGACCCCAAACTTCGTAAAACTAAATGTAACTTGTCTGCTAATACAAATTCAGTATGTCTTCAGCCTCTTCAGTCCTGTCTCTTCCAGGCATCTTTAACTGTGGATGTATTAGACCCAAGCAGGCATTTTTGTAGGCTGGAAGGCAAATGAATATAATACTTTCTACCCAGTCATCTCCCCTAGCCCATTTTAATATCCCAAAGTTTAATTAACAGAACAGGGAAGCTGCCCTGGACTGAACTCAACACTTTGGAAAGCACCTTTCCCATGACATGAACCAACTGGAGTGCCACCAAAGGCTGGCACACAGTAAACCAGCTCTAAAACTTCTAGCCCCATAACACATACCTTTTCACTCATGACTCCAGAACGAACCCTCCGAAGCTCCTGCATTTGACCGCCAACTCCCAATAACAAACCAAGATGCACACATAATGTCCGAATGTAAGTGCCGGCCTCACAACTCACCCAAAAGATTCCTAAGATACATACACAAGAAAAGCAGCGCCTACTGTAAATACATCACTAGTTGAGAAACGCAGTTATCCTTTATCTGAGCCATCAAGACTAGAGGTGACAGACACAGGCCATGACTAGCACCATATGCTAAGGGCAACTACTTTTCAAAATATAAGCATTTGCAGCTGGGCGCAGTGGCTCACGCCTGTAATCCCAGCACTTTGGGAGGCCAAGGCCAGCAGATCATAAGGTCAAAAGATCAAGACCATCCTGGTGAACATGGTGAAACCCCATCTCTACTAAAAGTACAAAAATTAGCTGGGTATGGTGGCGTGCACCTGTAGTCCAGCTACTCGGGAGTCTAAGGCAGGACTTGAACCTGGGAGGCAGAGGTTGCGGTGAGCCGAGATCACACCATTGTACTCCAACCTGGGCAACAGAAGTGAAACTCCATCTCAAAAAAAATATATATATATATATATGTATATGTAAATATATATAGAGAGAGAAATGCATTTGCTGTATTTAAAGATCTGTAATTCTGATATTAGCAGTAGAGTCACACAGCAGAATTTTTAACACTTAGTTGCAGGTATATTCAACATGGTATGTTTCATGGATGGGAGGAAAATAGGCATTGCCTCAAATTTATAGCCATGTGCTGTGGCTCACACCTATATCCCAGCACTTTGGGAGGCAGAGGCACGCAGATCACGAGGTCAGGAGATCAAGACCATCCTGGCCAACATGGTGAAACCCCCATTTCTACTAAAAATACAAAAATTTACTTCTGACAACTTAATCTGACCAGTCCTGCTAAATATTGATATATTAAAAAGACAAGTAAAATCCAACTGTTTATTGTTGCTTTTTGCCATTTGGTAGCATTTTACACACAGGCTTTGATCTTCGGAATACTCTGGATTCAATAGAAAAACCTTTTAAGTGACGATTTGTACAACAGAAGTCAAAATAGTGACAAATAAAAAAATACATGCAAAATATACTTTTCTGAAAACACCTTTGAAGAAAGCAACAAACTACATACACAAATGCAGAATGAAAACATTTCAATTTCAGCAGAAGCAGTCATAAAAGGTGTAAAAGCCACCTCACTTTACTAGGCACTGTTCACTTTTAAACAAAAGACAATAAAAAATATTGCCCACAGACAACATCCCTGCTGTAGAGCAGGTTGCGGAAAGTCTTCAACTTCAAGCACATCTACTTTAACAGAACAGACTCCTGGAAAATGTGCTCATAGCCACTTGTGGTCTATGCCAATTAAGTTCCTCCCTGGCCTAAAGACCTACCTAATCTTCTTTCAGGATCATATTCAATCATTTTGCTCTCGTAGATGGTCCTTACTCGGAGCTGCCTCTTTACTGCAGCAATAAGTGGGGGTCGCTGGAATAGGGCACCTGTCAGAGTTTCTAGGGCCTAAGAACAAACACAAACCAAAAGAAACACCCTCATCAGAATGTATGTGGCCAGCAGATGCCCCTACCATGTGCAGTCACTGGTCAAGGCTGGCTATGGCAGCCGACTGAAAAGGGCACAAAAGGAGTCAGCCAGGAGAACGAACCCATCTCCAGATGTTTAGGGGCTCAGAGATCCAAGTTGACAAAGGGTATCATCCTTAGAATTGCAGACTTACCCTAGAAAGCTGGGTCCCCCCTTCAATAGCATTGTGCAGCCGGACAATCCCCACATACTCTTTGCCTGAAAAATGACAAAAGAGTAGTCAGGTGTGGCTGTATGTCTTCTAGGCCCAGTCACTCCCGTTTTGCACAGGAGGAAATGCAGGCAGTTTGACCTTGTGTTTCTATAAAATTTGCATTAAGACAGATTTCATGGTGATGATGTGGGAAAGGAATTAAGATACTTTCTCACTGGGAGTTCAATGTACTGACAAAGGCAGTTGGGAGTACCCAGTGTACAGAGTCTGCCTGGAAAACGCCTTGCAAGATAAGCAAGCTTTTCTCAGATAAAAACGAAGGAAGGATACTTTAGGCAGAAATGGTAGCAGAGTGAGAAGCCTGCAATGACAAGCTGAGAGCTGAACTTGGGCAGAGTTCTGCCTCCAGGCTACAAATGGATCCAGTCAGCTTGAACATGCTTAGTATTTGGAATTCCAAAAGGGGCAACCACCAAGATCTGGCAGGGGACAGAAGGCACACAGAAACAAAACAATATCCTTGCTTCAGAATTTTCTTCCCCAAATGAAGAAATAGTTTCCATCAGGCAAAACGCAGAAAGAAAATGCAGAAAGCTTTGGACTCTAGCCAGTCCTTCCCTCCCTCCCCCATATACCTGCACTCTGTTGTGACTTCACCAACCGAGTGGCTCGTTCTATGCACACGATTAAACAACCAGTCACCTTGGGATCCAGAGTACCACTGTGCCCTGTCTTCTCCACCCTAAGTATCCGTCGAATCCAGGCTACCACCTCATGGGAAGAGGGGTTAGAGGGCTTGTCGAGATTAATGAAACCTGTCCTAGAATTAAAAAAAAATTAATGTATCACCCACTCGTGTGTTCCAATGAAACAACAAATCTGAAGAGTCAAAAAGAAAAAGAATTCACTGTGGGTACAGGTTATATATTCAGGACAAAGCTATTCTGACATGCTACTATCTTCTTGAATAGCTGGTGTGAAAGCATCATTTTCAAAAGAAAGTAAGTTTCAACAGTGCCTCCTCCCAACACTTACCTGATATAGTCCCCAATCTCTCTCTTCAGAGGATTTGAACCACATGCAAGAGGTGTATAGTGAGTTGTCCTTACATTCAGCTTATCAAAATTCTAGAAAGTGACGACACAACACAAAACAAAGTAACATGTCACGAACACATGTAAAACGAGTCAGCAGCACTATGCGGCCCACAAATTGGCATAGGTCGGCAAGACGGAGTAAGTACAAAAACTGAGAACTAATTGTTTACAAACTTAGCAATCTAATATTGTGGTGGTGACATATGTTGTATTCTACAACAGTGTTGAGTGTATTGCAATTTGTTTTAAACTTGGTTCTTCATTTCAGATACCTTAAGGAACCCTGCTTTAAACACTATCAGTTGTTTAACACTTGGAAATAACATAAAAGCAGACATTCACCTGATGCCTGATCTTAACCACATACCTTTAGCAAAAGGGGCCACTGAGACGTGTCCAACTTAGCAACTTTGGATTCAGGTTTGATAAGAAATTCTTCAACGTGTTGTATTTCCTTCCACAGAAGAGAAATATAACCTATTAGACTTCCCACCCGATTTTGAATAATTCCATTGCTACCACGGAAATGTGTGCCTTTTAAATAGAAAGTAAGGCTTTCTATGCCTTTTCAGTGGGACCTCCAGGGGAAAGAGAAGAAATGAACCAGGAGTACAGAGGGGAAGTGAAATGCCACTAAGATGGGTCCAAAAATTTAAAGAGAAAGGGGGATAGTGGGTCTGTGGGTGGGATAAGGAAGAGAAATTCAGAGACAGCAGTTGGGAAGCCCAGCACCATTTAGTAAGCTATGCCTGAAGGAGACTTGGACTGTCTGGGGCTGTCATATCAGTACTTTTTCAAATCTACACAATGACCACCAATCCTGGCCCATTCTTGGAAACCTTTAAAACACTTCTTTCCTTTAGTTTGTTATTTAAGTAAACCTTCTTTTTAGTCAAAGTGAAGTCAAACACATTACTACTCACGGCTACATCTTCTTCTGGCAATGACTTCCGCTCCTTTTTCTTCTTATGTTTCTTTGGTAAAATAATCACTAAAAAAAAAACAAACACAGGATTTGAGAATTTTCCCCAAGAATAAATGAGCATGAGTTTAAAATAAAAACCAAAATTAGGGGTAGGAAATGGATCTTAGGTCTACAATTACAGTCACATGCCACATAATGTTTTGTTCAAGGACAGACTGCAAATGTGACGGTGGCCTCCATAAGATTATAACAGAGCTGAAAAATTCCTGTCTCCTAGTGATGTCTTAATGATCCTGACCTGTGTACGTCAAGGCTACTGTGTGTGTTTGTGTCTTATTTAACAAAAAAAAAAATGTAAAAACAAAAAAAAAGTAGAAGAGTTATAAATAAGGATATAAACAGAGAAAATAATTATGTACAACTGAATAATGTGTTTAAGCTAGGTGTTATTACAAGGGTTGAAGGAAATAGTTTATAAAGTTACAGTAAGCTAAGGCTGATTTATTCTGAAGAAAAATATATTTTTATAGAGGAGGGACAGCGGGGGGTGGGGAGTTGGGGAGAGATAGCATGGGGAGAAATGCCAGATATAGGTGAAGGGGAGGAAGGAAGCAAATCACACTACCACGTGTGTACCTATGCAACAATCTTGCATGTTCTTCACATGTACCCCAAAACCTAAAATGCAATAAAAAAAAAGAAAAATATATTTTTATAAATTTAGTGTAGCCTAAGTGTACAGACTTTATAAAGTCTCCAGTAGTGTAATGTCTGAGGCCTTCACATTCAGTCACTGACTCAACCAAAGCAACTTCCAGCCCAGCAAGCTCCATTTATGGCAAGTGCTCTCCTCTACGGGTGCACCACTTTTAACCTTGTGTACTATATATGCATACACATTTGAGATGCAGTTTCACTCTTGTTGCCCAGGCTGGAGTGCAGTGGTACAATCTTGGCTCACTGTAACCTGTCTCCCGGGTTCCAACGACTCTCCTGCCTCAGCCTCCCCAAGTAGCAGGGATTACAGGCATACGCCACCATGCCCAACTAACGTTTGTATTTTTAGTAGAGACAGGGTTTCACAATGCTGGCCAGGCTGGTGTCGAACTCCTGACCTCAGGTGATCGGCCTGCCTAGGGCTCCCAAAGTACTGGGATTACAGGCATGAGCCACCATGCCCAGCCCTGTACTATATTTTTACTGTCCTTTTTCCGCTTAGACATGTTTAAATACACATCGTCTCGACACTGTGCTCCAACTGCCTATAACATTCCCCACAGTACCATGCCGTGCAGGTTTGGAGCCTAGAGCAATAGGCTCACCATATACAGCCAGGTGTGTAGTGGCCTATGCCATCTCGGTTTGTGTAAGAGCACTCCGACGTTCCCACAACGATGAAATTGCCTAACGACCCATTTCTCAGAAAGTATATCCGTAGGTCAGCGAGAAAACAAAGTGTGTAAGGCCAAATATATGGGTCGCATGGCTGGGTAACTGCCTTCCGGTTCACCACGTGGCTATGGCAGGGCTTAAACATCCCACAGAAGCGCTCACGCAGGGGACCCGACAGTTCCATAAGCGACCACTCGACTCTCCCCGCCAGCTTGTGGCCTCTAGAAGTTTCTTGCAACTCGGAGCTATGTCTGCTCACGGGTCCCCCGGCTCCTTTTCTTCTCGGCCCGTTTCCACCACCCTTGCTCCCATCGTCGCATGGAGCTATACTGGCGGCGTCCGGGCTAGCAGCAGCACAAACGCTGCCACGTCCCCCGCCACCACGGGGTGGGCAGCACGACAGATGTCTTACGACGAAAACCCGGACCCCAGGGAGGCTTGTCATCGGTGAGAGGCCCGAGCCCCGCCATACCAAGTCACCGCGAGGGACTCCCACTCCCGCCGTCGCCATCGAGCCAGGGCCGAGCGACAAGGCCGGTCGGCTAAGAGGCCGACGCGCCGGCGGGAATCAGAGGGAGGTGGGCGCGGGCCCGTATACCATCCCCCATTCCCGGCTCCCCGAGTCGCCTGGAGTTAGCATAGTCCGGACGCCTGCAGCCCTTACCTTCCGCATCCGCCATGTTACCCTGCACCGCGTGCGTACCGCCTGGTCCACGGCCCGCAGAACTACCGCAGACTCCCGCCGCCACACTCCAGTGAGGCCGCGCTGCTAGGCCTGCCCCTCCGCGCACAACCCTGTGCGTGCCTCGCCGCGGAGCGGGAGGGGGCGGGGCCTTTCCCGGGGCGACCCGAGGCGCTCGGGCGCGCGGATCTTCCGCGCAATGCGATTGGCTGGCTCAGCCAGGGTCGCGCCACCGCGCCTGCGCCTCGAGCCTCTACCAGCCCGATTAGCCCCGGCTGGAAGCGCTAGTGCCGCCCTCCCCGGCAGCCCGGAGTCTGTGGGCGTGTCCCCAGCTGTCGTTGGTTTACCTCCGGGTTTACCTCCGCGCCTGCGCCTGGGCTCACGGCTGAGCGCTGCGTAGTCGGTAGCTCTTTGCTTTCTGACACTGACTCTCTCAGCTTGGTGTCGGATTAGTCCTGATTCAAAAGTGAACATGTTGAGGCTCGGAGAGATTGAAAGCCTTTTGCTGCTTGCAGTTCCCATCCAGCTAGAGCGGATGGCCACTAGGAGCAGAGCATGAGCCACATGTTGACTTTTTCTAGCAGCTACATGGAAGAAGAGTGAAAAGAAAAGGGTGAAATTGATTTTAATAATGAATTTTTTTAACCCAGCGTATCCGAAATATTATCATTTCCGCATATAGGCAAAACACAACTGCATGAATGGGATATTTTGCTTTTTTTTTTTTTTTTTTGGTCCCCACAAGGTCTTTCCGGTGTGTGTGTGTTTACTGTCACAGCACACCTCAATTGGAACTCTACGACCAGGCTTCACGCCAAACAGCAGAGACAAAGCACTGGCACTAAATCTCATAGAAACAGGATGAGCCTGGGTATCATGATAGGCAGCAAGGCTGGAAGCTGGAACCAAACTGATTTCTCCCCAGGGATCTTTGGTGCTGTCTAATTGATCGTGGTGTCCTATAGTAAGCCATCATGATCTGTATAACCCCTGTAACGCTAGATCTGGCTAAAGGCATCCTGTCTTGAATCACCACAATGGAAAATCATGGTGCCTCATCTAATTCCCAGATCTAGACAGTCCACAGGCCAGAGCCTGTGAGGTAAGCCTGTAAAAGTGAGGCCAGGCACATGTGTGTAGTTTAAGCCTGCCTCCTACTTTACCCTGGGACCCATGGACATTTACCAGAGACTTGCACAAGCTCGTGTTAATCCCTGGGGAAGTAGAATGCCACTGTCAGAAGTGGAGTCAGCCCATGTCCCTTTCACTCTCAGCCACCCTGTGGCTCTCTCCCCACTTCTTGAATCCATACTTAGAATAAACACAATTGGTGGCTGGAAAAATTCCCACAGGGGCTTCCTGACTCAAGGACTGAGGGTGATAAATGAAGGAAAGATCAAAGGAAGCCTCTGCACATTATCATAATTGAGTCCCTGGGAACTGATTTGATCATCTCACTGTACCCCCAGACATCATGTTGATGCATAGGAAGTGGCAAATGTCTCACCACAAGGTGAGAGATAAGCCCCTTGAAAATTCAGGGAGGTGACACCTCAGTGAACTTTCTGGGCATCCAGTGGGCTGAGACATGTTGAGATGGTCCCTCCAAAGAGAAAGACAGGTTGCCTTACCTGGAACCCTCTGCTTGCTAAAAAAGAAGCACAATACTCAGTGGGCCATTTTCTGGAGATGGCATAACCTATTAGTATGCTACACAGAGCCTTTTCCACGCCTTAGTAAGAGACTCACAGTTCAGCCCTCTGGAATTTGAAATAAACTTAAAGCTCAGCCCTCTACACACAAAAGTATAATAATTTACCAGGAGCAAAAGCTCCTGGCTTGCTGTAGTTATTTACTGAAACAGAATGACTGTGATATATGTGGTCCTAAGACCTGAGCTGCCCATCATAAACTGGGTGTTGTCTGACCAAACCATAATGTTGGTCATGTGCAACAGCACTCCATCATCAAGTACAATGATGCAGCCAATTTAGAAAGCGGTCTGGCATGGGCCGGGTGCGGTAGCTCACACCTGTAATCCCAGCACTTTGGGAGGCTGAAGCAGGTGGATCATGAGATCAGCAGTTCAAGACTAGCCTGGCCAAGATGGTGAAACCCTGTCTCTACCAAAAACACAAAAATTAGCCGGGCATGGTGGTGGGTGCCTGTAATCCCAGCTACTTGAAAGGCTGAGGGAAAGAAGTGCTTGAACCCAGGAGGTGGAGGTTGCAGTAACCGAGATTGCACCACCACTGCACTCCAGCCTGGGCGACCGAGTGAGACTCTGTCTCAAACAATAACAAAAAAAAGAAACAAAAACGATCAGGCAATTCCTTGAAAGGTTAAACATAGAGTTATCATATTACTCACCAATTCTACTCCTAGTTATAGACCCAAGAGAATTGAAAATGGATTTTTAGACAGATGATTGTACACATATATTCATAGCAGAACTATTCACAATAGCCAAAAGGCAGGAACAACCAAAATGAACAGATGAAGAGATAAACAAAATGTGGTCTATCCATACAATGGACTATTATTCAGCCATAAAAGGGGATGACATACTGATGGATACAATGTTGAAAAGCATTAGGCTTAGTGAAAGAAGCCACACACCAAAGGCCACATTTTGTATTATTCCATTTATAGGAAATATCCAGACTGCAAATCTAGAGACACAAAGCAGATTAGCGGTAACCTTGGCCTAGGAATTTAGGGAACATGGGGAATGACTGCTAATGGGCAGAGAGTTTCTTTTCGAGGTGATAAAAGGTTCTAGAATTACATTTTGGTGAAGGTTGCACAAGATTTCAAGAATTGTGGGATAGGAAGGCCACTCATCACAGTTTTGGATCATTTAAATGACAGCCAAATTCCTCGAATTTTTGGTTTGGGTCATAGACAGAAATCCAGGGAATTTCTATAACAATGCTTAAGGAATTATTTATTTCTTACAGGCACAAGAATAAAAAAACTAAACACCAAACTTTAAATTTTTGACCCATCACCTTTCCAAATTACAAAACTCAGTGAATTCACAGCCTTCTCAGGTATCTTAGCAAAGGTTGGGGCCATGATCAGAAAAGCATAGAACACTGGGATTTGAAGTGGGAATAAATTGGAGAATTGAGAGTCCCCGGAATCCCCAGCTCCTACTCAGCCTCCATTGTTAGACAACCATCACCTTTATCTGATTGCAGGTTCCTTACTCTCTCCTGAGGGAATTAGCAGAGAAGCAAAAGCATGTCCCTCCAACTCTCCCACCTCAATGTCTCCAGGCCTGTAACTAAAATTTACCTCTACATTGCCTCAACTGAATAATTTAAGTCATGCAGCAGGAGAAAGCTTGCATATGAAAACGGTAACAGGTAATATTTATGTAAATGATATGTGAAAGTTCTTGACCCAAAAGGAGAGAAGATCATTCTAAATCAGGCTGAATTTTTGGCATAGATGCTGCAATAGAGGTTCATGTGGAGATGATACCTGGACCAAGAAGCCAACGTACAAGGATTGAAGGAGCTGTTTTGCTAAAAATGCTTTAAGCTATTGGATTCCCATACCAGATTATTTTTCACAACACCTGGCCAGATAACCAAAACAAAATTCTTGCATTTGTCTAAATGCAAGAATCATAGGAGACTTTCCTTTTAGTACCAAATCTTGTGCCAGTTAAAAATGTTTTGTTTGGGAGTAAAAGAAACAAGACTGTTATTATTGGAAGGGTATTATTATTGACTCTGGGACTCAATAAAGAACAGGTTTAAAGAGTGGGGTGAGTGAACGTTAAGGATAGGCCTCAAAATTGTTTATGTCTCACCTCTCACCTTCACAGCACCACACCATGCCAAGTTTTACCATTAAATGTGACTTTAGTGGATGTTTGCAGAGGTAAAAGCAGAAAATCACATTTAAAGAAAGGAATGTAAACAATCGCTCTAAATGTGACTATCTTTGTACTCTTCAGAGAAAAGCCCCTAACAATGCCCCCACCCAGCGTGGATGCTCTTTAGTTCCCAGCCTGCTCTCCTGCCCTCAGGTCCTGTAGGGATTTATTGCTTCTTAAAAGTTTCATTAGGTCATGTGTGGTAAGCACTGTTAGTTGGCTACCTAAGAGCCATCCCTTTCCTCTTCTTCCTCCATAATGGAGCCCAAGTTTTGGCCAGGACAGCACTATGCCCAGCCGCAGGGGATGCATCACAGTTGCTCTAAGCCAGTTAGATCCCTTTGTCACATCATTTACTGGCCTCTCTTGCAGTTAGGGTGGTCATGTAGCACAGTTCTGGCCAACGAGTTGTAACTGGAAGTCAGCTGGAGAGGAGAGAGTAGGGTAACAGCATGAGGAGCCAGAAGTGGCCAAGTGGCTCTGTTTCCAAGTTCATGGAGCGATTCTCATGTCTCTAAGTGTATTTTTCCTGGATACTAGAATCTAAACCAGCTAGGTACAAAGTCATGAGGTTGAGAAGCAAAAATTCTGAAGGCAGATTATTCAGCATACCTGTGACATATGCCATTACCCACCTCAACTCTGTTTTCCAGACCTCTTATACTCTGACCATGAGAAAAACTGCACCATTTAGTGGTTTCTAGTTCAGCGTATGCTCCAGATCTTCACAAGAATGTTGTATCCCAACTAGCAACACAGCATAATCTTCAACAGGCCATTTTATCATTAGCCAGTTGAATAGCTGCATACAGAATGTTGGAAGAGGTATGGAATTGTTTTAGCAAATAGATCACATCTGGAACCATAGCAGCAATTGAAAAACCATATGATTATGCTTTCAGTAATCCACAGTCATTTAAGGTCCACAGTCTAGGTTTCTACTGCTGCATAACAAACCATCCCCAAACTTAATGACATTAAACAGCCATTTCATTGTGCTGACAGGTTTTTCAGATTAGAAATCAAGACAGGACACAATGAGAATGGTTTCTCTTTGCTCTGTAATATCTGATGTCTTGGCTGAGATGACTTGATGGATAGGGGTGACAGGATGGACAGAGGCTATAATCTTCTGGAAGCTTCTTCACTAACATGCCTGTTGCCTATACTGGTATGGCTGGAAGGCCAGGTTCCACTGGAACTGCAGCACCTACTGCACACAGCCTCTGTTTATGGCCTGGCAGCCTTAGACTAGCTGGACTCTGTACTTGGTGGCTCAGAGCCTCCACAGCAAGCTTTAGAGCAAATAAGACAAAAAGCTGCATCACCTTCTATGACTC